AACCGGCATACAAAGCTTCGTCGTACGATAGTCGAGTTACAATTATTATCCAAGTCGAGGCTGCTGTGTCTTGTTTGCTTTTTATTTTTCTTCCTCAGCGCTACTACCCTTCTTCTTATCTCTTCATGGAAGATCGAAAGACACGATCCATGGCATGCTGAATTTCACGAGGGTTGCGCCTCTTGCGACTGTTTCTCCCGACGATAGAGAAAGCTAGAAAGAGAGAGATAGTAAAGACTAACCGGGTGCTTTCTATTTACAAATTAACCCGCTTCGGAGGAAATTCGTTCTGGTAAACATTTTTCGACCGCTCGACGAATGAAATTGATTCACGTTGTTGTGCAATAACGTTCACGTTCTGTTAATTACATGTGTAACCGACGAGGATTTTTTGGAACGTCCGACGCGGATTGTTGCTTTTAGCAAAGGTAATCGTATTCGATGTACATGTAAACGAGTATGCGAATTGTTCGCGAAGCGTAGACATTTAGCATTTACTCCGATGGTTGTCTAACTTGTACTATTGCTAACAGAGGAGGGACTCTTGTGAGAATTGCGTAACGCTAAATAACCCTGCCTACACGTGAATGTGATTTTCGTAATACTTGGATGTCTAATCTGTGCGCATAATAATTTCTTCAATGTATCCGATTAACAGGCTCGGAGGCGCGCGGAACGAGACAGTCTGCGATTAGCGTTTTTTACCGGTAGAACTTTTTTAAACCAACCTTTTGCACTTTCTTACCGAGAGCCTATTTTTACAATAATAGACGATACACAGCTGTGGTGAGAGCAAATTTTCGGGATTTCTGCGCGCCTCCGAACGTCAGCATACAAAAACTCAGCGAGTATAACCGTAAATGAGTAATGTCGCTTAATTGTTGGGAACATAATAGGTGTATAAGGAACTGTGTCCTCTGTTCTGACCGTCGTGTCGTCTGAAAGTAATCGAGGGACATCGGTGGCAGTGTAAGACTGATCGAGTATGGCTTTAATCGACGAATGATTTCTGGGTTCGTTCGTAATTCGCTAAAATATTAAACTAACATTTCTCTTAAATTTTCCAAACTTGATAAATGATAAAATATGACACGAGGTGACTGTAGACATAAGATATGCTGTCAATGATTTCAGACTTCTCTTAGTGCTTGTCAATTTAAAAAAAGAAATAGTATCAAAGAGCTTAGAAATCATTCTACCATGTATCCTGTCTAATCCTAGAAGAATTCATCCCGAGTACATTCTCATTCCAAGGAAAAATTCGCGAGTGTACTGAAAAAAAGAAAAAAAAAAAATGAAAAGTGAAAGAATGAGTAAATTAGACGCGAAAGAGAGAGTTGTGTAAAACGAGATAATCGTATTTGGACAATTGTATCTGACACGAAAGGTGGCACAGCAGAGGTGCGAGTCGACGGTGGCTGGCAGGACGGCGACAAAATCGAAAAGCAGCAACAATCACAGGCATACAGCCTCCGTGCCGACAATCCTCGCGCGTCCCGCCTCACCCCGGAACCCCCAGCTCTCTCCGTTGCAGGTCCGTTCTCTTCTTTGCCAAATTAAGAAGAATCTTTCACCGAGTTGTCGCCAACCGACACACTTCGTCACCCACTGTCTTGTCTCTTGTTTTGTAGTTTTTTTAGTTTTTCTCGACACGCTTCGCACTTTCTTCGTTACGTTTCATGCTACACTTTGTCTCCCAAGGCAAGCTTCTATTTGGTTCTGTTTTCGTGGTTTTGTAGATCTGTTTGTTTGGGGTTTGTTGGAACTTTTGCTAGCTTTTTGTTTCGCGGGTTCGTTTGTGTGTGATTTAACGAGTGTTTCGGGAATGGAGATTTATTAGTAGAACGCAGCGATGGAATTATTTGTTGAAATTGATACGGATGTGTTTTTGGAAGTGTTTCTCCCATTTTCTCGAAGGTCCGATCGATTTTTCGGAAGAATTAAGGCGGAGTCTAAAAATTAAGGGAGAGACTGAGAATTTCAGAGAGAGTTGACACGGTCGCTGCCACCGGAAAATCAATAGCACGCTGGTTAATGCATCGCGGACCGCATACGCTGCGTCGGTGGCAGCGACCGTGTTAAGTTCTCGACTTCTCTAAAACCTACGCTTATAAAATACTAAACAAAAAATTCTACTATTATTAATCACCAATTTCGAAAATTTTCATTTCCAAAAATTCTCAAAATTTTAATGTAAAATCGTCTCAAGAAACACATAAGCGAACCTGAACCGTGTACATATGTACGTTCTTCTCACACTTCGGTTTTTCTAAGGTAGCGGCCTTAAGTTCCGTTCCGAGATGTTCCGAGCGAAGTAACAATCGCGAAATGAGCCCGATCGATCAAAACGGAATTCTCTTTGCAGAGCTGATGAGGTCTCCAGCAGTGAGGTGGTCCAGCAGAAGTTGTCGCAGCTTGCCTCCCACGCCCACGCCGAGTTATCATCACCCGCTCCACCCCCCACTGCCAGCGGTGGGCATGGTCGCCGAGAGGAAGAAACGTTTCGAGCTCTGAATTAATTAACCATCCACCCACCCCTCCCCCAGTGTCGATTGCTACCGCGGAATAAATTCATCGATCATCACGCGTCATCGATCAGTACCACCAACGCGACTCGTTAAAGACCGTACATTAATTGACACGTTCGATCGGCCTCGAATGGTGCTAGAGACAAGACCGGTTTGATCCTTCCATTACGTCTCTTCCACGAGTCACAGCATTTTTCTGTTCAACTGTTTTCCATTTCTTCTCTTATTTTCGAGAATCATCGGTTCAAAGCATTTTTCAGCTATTTTCCATTTTTCTTTTCTTTTCGAGAATGATCAATTCACAGTATTTTCAACTATTACCCATTTTGCTTTTCTCTTCGAGAGTAATCAGCTCACAGCATTTTTCTTTTCCATTCGAGAATCATCAGTTCAAAGCATTTTTCAATTATTTTCCATTTTTCTTTTCCCTTCGAGAGTATCAATTCAAAGCATTTTTCAGCTATTTTCCATTTTGCTTTTCTCTTCGAGAGTAATCAGCTCACAGCATTTTTCTTTTCCATTCGAGAATCATCAGTTCAAAGCATTTTTCAATTATTTTCCATTTTTCTTTTCCCTTCGAGAGTATCAATTCAAAGCATTTTTCAGCTATTTTCCATTTTGCTTTTCTCTTCGAGAGTAATCAGCTCACAGCATTTTTCTTTTCCATTCGAGAATCATCAGTTCAAAGCATTTTTCAATTATTTTCCATTTTTCTTTTCCCTTCGAGAGTATCAATTCAAAGCATTTTTTAGCTATTTTCCATTTTGCTTTTCTCTTCGAGAGTAATCAGCTCACAACATTTTTCTCTTCTCTTCGAGAATCATCAGTTCAAAGCATTTTTTAATTATTTTCCATTTTTCTTTTCCCTTCGAGAGTATCAATTCAAAGCATTTTTCAGCTATTTTCCATTTTGCTTTTCTCTTCGAGAGTAATCAGCTCACAACATTTTTTTCTTCTCTTCGAGAATCATCAGTTCGCATTATTTTTTTAAATAACTCACCTTCCCGAGAATAATTTACAGGTGTTTCTTCACTGCCATAGCAAGTAGAACTTCAACCTGTTAACTGGGTCCAGAAATTGAACCCCTCTACTTTATAACAAAAACCACTTGTCGCACATAGTACAACTGAAGACGAGTAATTTTTCAATAAACCAAACGACGAGTTAACTCGTCGTCCCCAGTTAGCAGGTTAACAACATACGAGTGAGAAGAAGACAACTTTTTTACAGACGAAATATCGACGAAAACCAACCCTTTTTAATATTACTAACAAGAATCCTGTATATTACTATGTAACACCTGTGTGTGTTTCCGGCGAGCATTGCGTGATTGGTGCAACGTTAATTGGATAGAACAGTACTCAAACGAGCATCAGAGAATCGTGGTTAATTACGCTAAAACGAAAGCAAACTGTATTTCGAAACTTTTGCAAAAAGTTTCAAAATTTCTCCGCCAAAAAGTAATCCAGTCCATGCAATTTGTGAAATTGTCAGGTTCTGGTGCGTTGTCTCGCAATGGTCGTGTCAATTAATACGGTCTCCCGGGATCGTGCTCGTCGTAACGTAGCGATATTGAGCATGTTTATCAGGTAAACATGATTCAATAGCCGAAACGAGGCTCGGGTCCCGCGCGAGGCTCTCGCGAATTCACGGTTTGGACGCCTATCGCGAACGATAGGACGTTTTCGAAGGGACTGTCTCTTTCATTTTTCCGACGATTCAACGGAATCTCGTTTGTTTCTTTTTCTTTTTTTTTTTTGTTAAACCGGGTGAACCGTTTAAGACATTGATACGTGAACGTTTTTCCCGTAGGACCGAGTAGTGGTCGTTTCGATCAAGTTTCGCGAGCGACGTGCGTTTCTGGGGCATTATCTCACCTGTCCGCCGTTTCTCCTCTGTCTCTCACTCGACCGGAACATTTCACCGTTGTTAATTACCGTCTAATTCTACCGTGTTCCCCTTCCGATTCGCGAGATTCGCTTCGGTGCGCCAAATTCGTCAGGTTCGAATTGGCCGCCACGACGAAAGGTTGAAATGTTCTTCGAAAATTTGTCGAGGTAGACGATTCGATCGCAATTTCAGTTCTTCGCCTTGAAATGTTCCCTGAGAAATTTTGTCGAGATAGACGAGAAACGGCGATGAAAGCGGCGGATGCGAAGAATGTACTGTAGAATGTTAATTATTCGAATTATACGAATGATCTATAGATCGATTGGTAAGTTATTCGTCGTTTCAATTGTACGGTAATAGAGAAACAATCAAACTCGTTCGATGACCGGAAGTTCGAATAATTAACGATCTACGAGATGAGTCATGTATACAAGTGTCGTGATAGTTAAGCGCTTAGGCGTGTTGTATCGGTGTGAAAGTGTACACAGGCGGAAGATTCGTCGAAATCGGTTGCGCTTTGTCGATTTCGCTGTTTGCGTTCGAGAGAGAGAGAGAGAGAGAGAAAGAGGAGAAAATGTAACGCGATTTCCGTAGAATCGTGCGAGACACGTTTAAGTTTCACTTGTGACTCTACGGGGGGGCTAATTTTAATGGACGATCGGCTGAATGTTCGCCTTCTAGGGAGGCTTCGATTGACTTTGCCTTTTTCTTTCTTTTTTTATTTTCATTTGTTGACACGTTGTTCGCGAGCTATTATTATTATTATTTTTTATTTGTTTTGTAAAGTCGATTAGCGCTTTAACGTTGAAACAGCGACGAGGTGTTTTCTCGTCGTGGCAAGAGATACGACAAAGGGACGCGACATTTATACTTTTCCCTGTTTTTCTTTCTTCCTTCTTCTTCTACTATTATTGTCTCTCGTCTTGATTTTTCGTGGTCGAAAAAGAAAAAAAAATGAAATATTCGTACGCTTGTTTCGCTCTTGTTATGTATAGATTTTGCACATAATTGAATATAATGACGTTGTCACGTTGCACTGTGTATTACCGCATTTTCTCTCATTGTGTAAATGTTCTTTTTATTCTCCGATATCGATCGCGATATTGTCACGTTTCTTTTTTCTCTCGATGTTAATACTGTATAGTTTATGACGTTTTCAATTTAAGGAGCAAGAAAATTATAAATAGCCTAGAATTGTCGCGGTTCGTTCCAGTGAGAGGATGTCGCTCGGCATTTTTGATCGACGGTCTCGAGGGAGGCGATTTTTTCTTTCTTTCATGCAACAAAAAAAAAAAAAGAAGAAGAGGATTATCGATAACAATACGATTCATTATCTCTTATGTAGAGTAATTACTCAGGATTGTTTAACATTTATAATATATTACGATTATACTTATTGTATTTGTATTATAATTTATAATAACGTTTGAAATAAAATATAGTAACCATTGACGTGAATATCTGTTATAGGAGTCTGTTTATTCGTAGTGTGTCGATAGAAATTGGAGAAAGTAGACATTTTTCATTGAAAAAACATTTCAAACATTTCGAATCGAAGAAGCGTTACCTTTAGAGCGTTCGTATTAGCGCGCGCTTTTACTGCGCATGCGCGTAAGACTTGTCGAGACGCGTCGTACAGTTTGAACCGGAGTGCGTTCGTGCCGGTACCGTTCGTCGCGTGTTCGTGTAAAGTCGTGTGAAAATCAAATTATTCACGGAAAATGGAGCCGTTGTTCCAGTTACAAGTGCAGGACATCGATATTTTGCTGCCTAGCATGAAAGAGAGACTTATGTTACACGACGAGCAGGCTCAGGTACGTTTATTTCGTCTGAATTTCGTATGCGACTCTCGTCGAATTATGGCGGGAGTCGAGGCATGCTTGAAAACTTTTATTTATCGAAATTTGTGCATTGTCGAGGCTCTCGAATGTCTCAAAAGCTCTCGTTTCTCATACTAAACGTGAATATTGACTTTATCTCGTGAAATAGAAGTGTTTAAATGCATTTCTTTGAAAATGACGAAGTACGACAAGAATTCCATCGACAATACGTCGTAGATACGCAGTTTGCGTTTACATAAGAGAAATTGATTAGGGGAAAGATATATTGCGACTACTGTTGCTAGGACAGTGGTATTAGTAAGTGCTGGAATAGGAAAAACGTGAAATTCCTCAGATTACGTGCATCGACCGAATATCCAACATGTTCAAAAGTGGTGGCGCTGCGAGCAGAGAGGCGGTTCTTTCAAAGTTGATCAAATACGACGTACTCTCTGCTATATTCGATATTCTACAAACGCCAAGTGATAATCTATTCCAGTACGTTCCACACAATCTACCAATCACGAAGAACGACATATATGCTCTCTCGATAACATCTCTCTTGCATTTCATGAAATAGACGTATTCTCGATTTTCTGAGCTTGGTAACCGTGTGTCGAAAATTTTACGAAAGTCACGTGGCCAGTGACGTCATGGACACCATATTGAAAGTGACAGTTTGCATCGTGAAGTCTCGGTGCAAGGAAACTGAATTGTTAGAGAAACTTATTTCGAGCATTTACGATGTAATTTACAGGTACGTGAAGATTCGGCCGAATAAACAATCGAATAATTATCGAATACATTATCGAATGAATTATAGTCGAATAAATGGTGAAAAATGTCTTTATTCTCTTTTTTTTTGGCGGCAACGTTTGGCGGGAACGACAATGCTTTCCAGAGGGATAGAATTTAACGTGGATTTAGACGCAGTCTGCGTCCCGCGGCAAGTTCTGATCCTTGTGGAATCTTTGATCTCGGGGAATCCTTTGGATCAGAGGATAAAGTTCGCTGGCGTCGCGCTGCTCAATTTCGTTCTCGAAAACATCGACGCGGAGGATGAATGGGAGGACGGTGTGTTCGAACTCTGCCACAAAGCTCTCAATTTAATGAAAGAGATCGTCGAGTACAGTGACGACGACGTCTTGGTCTCGCGTGCTGCCGATGCATTGTGCGCTGTTTGCGCTTCTGCCACTCGGTGAGATTGTATTAGCTTCGTATATTCCGAAGCTCGTGGACTTGCCAATTTTCAACCGAATTAATTCTCCGTCCATATTTGCAATTTTCTCATTCCACTATGTAACATGTGTTTCGTTCGACAATTTTTCCTTCGTCTTTCTGGTAATTTGAAAATTCTATTTCGACAAATACTTTCTTTATTAGATCGAAACTTTACTTTTCACTTTTGGTGAAAGAAAACAGAATTAAGTGCGGATAATGTAGTTTCCTTCTTTCAATTTTAAGACAATATAACCTAAAAGAATATCATGATTTGACAGATCACTTTCTATTATAACCAATCAATATCAAATATTTTTTCACTTGATATACCAAAAATAATCAATTCCCTTTTCTTTAAATTATCTCTCAGATGTATACAAATAACTTTTCCACTGTTCACAATGTTATAACTTTCGTTTTCAAAAAAGCCAGCAAAATATGCAAAGTGAAGGGAATAATAACCTAAAAAGCAGCACTTATCGTCAAAATTAGTTAACACATATGAAACACGTGACATAAAACCGTCAAAGGGTTAGTTACATCACAAAACATCTACAATAACCACAATAACCCAATAAAAGCGTGAAAAATCCATTCTCACCAGATTGCACGTCGCGAAAAGCGACACTCAAGAGTTTTTCAACAAGATTCCACGATGTCAAGCGGCGCTGGCGAAATCGATCTACGCGGCGGCGATGAACACGTTGGTGTCTTACGTTAAAGTAAGTTCCCGATCAGTTCGATCACGTCGCGGCGACGTATATTTAATTACGCTAGCGTCAAAGGCCCTTTTATTCCCGTTCCAGCAGAGCACGGAGTCAAACGAAACGGACAGGGTCAAATTCCAGAGAAACCTCGTGACTTGTCTGAACAACCTTTACAAGCTGAGCAGTAGCTGCGGCCGCGACAACTTGTCAAACCACTTGACCGCCAACGGATATCTGAAGTACTTCTTGCTTTTAACCAGCAGGCTTCCGTAAGTCTCACGGATGATGCGAACATTCATCGAGGAACACGATCGAATCGATAAAATTATCGTCTCGAATTCAATCAACCGCCGGATGAATAATCTCCCGATTGGCGGAACGTGAAATGTCGTTCAATATATTCACCCTTTATCTTGCGATTTTGCTTTCCTTTTTTTGGGTGCGTACAGTGTAGGACTAAATTATGGGACATTTTAGTGGCGATACGAGCAAACTGTTTCTCGTTTATACTGAAAATTTTTCATTTTGGAACTTGCGTTTTTTTATATTTTAACCTCTCGTTTGCATATTTTCTATAGTTATTACGAAGGAAGGGGTGAAATGTGTGTGTAGAATACATCATTTTGGAGATTCAAAATTTATTTATCTGCTATACCGAGGAAAATATTATTGCGATTTTGTTTCTCTTTTATGTGTACAATGTGGGGGGTAAAAATTACGGGACATTTTAGCGGCAATATGAGCAAACACACGGTTTTTGTTTATACTGAAAATTTTTATACATTGTTTACCATTTCATTTCCTCATTTGCATATTTTGTGTAATTATTGTAAGGGAAAGGGTTAAATTTATATACAGGGTGTTTCGTAAAATTGACTCTATGGTTATATTCTCGTGTAATTTTAAAGATTGAAAATTTAGTTATTTACAAGACTGACGGAGGTATTATCGCGTTTCGTCAGTCATGTTTGAAGAGTGCAGGGAAGGAAGGATGTATACGGTGACTCTTACCAATATTCGGACACTCTTTAGAACAGTATAACTTTTTTAAAATTGGACCTAACGACTTGAGTTTTTTTGAGAAGTTAGAAGGATTAGTATACTAGATGACGCGTGTAAAATTTGTAAAGGTCACATTCGACAACTTTTTTATCCCGTAATGAAAATTTAAAAAGTACGGTTTGTAGATTTATGCCAGTTGTACGCATGCTGAAAATTTGATCGAAGTCGGTTAATGTTACTGTGAGCTACAAATCGTTGTAATGAATCTGAAGATTCCTACATCTTTCGATGCCTGCCGCTTGTTTCTCCATCAACCGATTTCGATGAAATTTTCAGCATGCGTATAATTGACATAAATCTACAAAACGTATGTTTTAAATTTTCGTTACAAGCTCAGGTAAAAAAGTTGTAAACAGTTTACAATTTTCTTCGCGATTCCCACAAATTGCAATATTTTCAAAAATTTGCAACTCAAGTCGTTTGATCCAGTTTAGAAAAAGCTATACTGTTCTAAAGAGTGTCCGAATGTTAGTAAGAGTCGCTGTATTTAATGCTGTTTCAAGTGAAACGAAGTTTAACACGTTAAGCGTGGCGTCAGTCCGCGGTGACTGACAGTGAACTTTCCGTTTAGGCGGCGTCAGTCCGTGGTGACTGACAGTGAACTTTTCGTTTGAGTGGCGTCGGTCCGTGGGACCGGCAGTATCTCCTTCTTTTTTTTGGCAATTTATGAACGCTTCTTCTATCAACCCGGATTGGTATCGTCCGTGGTGACTGACAGTGAACTTTTCGTTTGGGTGGCGTCGGTCCGTGGGACCGGCAGTATCTCCTTCTTTCTTTTGGCAATTTATGAACGCTTCTTCTATCAACCCGGATTGGTATCTCTTCGTCTGAAAGGCCGTGTAAACGCATTTGTTATCTTCTGTTTATACTCTACAACCGAACAGCTCGCGAAGTGATCGCCGCTGTGTGCCGCCTGAACGGTAAGAAGAGCGAAATCGGCTCAACGTGTTACACATCGGAGATTCATATTGATTTTTCAGACGTTGTTGAAGAAATTAATACCGAATCCACAGTCACGCTTAAGAAATACACTGACACAACGTAAAGACTCGTCTTTTTCCCCTTTATCGTTTAAATGGCAATAACTTGGAACTTTCATCTCCTTTCTCATTTCCAAACAAAGGGAACTGAATTCTTCAATGAAAACTAAATCCTCGTCCATTCTTCCCTGTACGTTTCATTCGTGATGTCGTCGAATTCTCTCGCATTTATAAATCACGCGAGAACGAAGATAAAAAGGATAAATGGAAAACACAGAACGAAGTGTTCGTTGTGGAAAAAATTGATTTGAAACTGCGCAATATTCCATATATCCCATTCTTTCAAATTGCTTTCCACGAAAACGAAGCGACGTTCACGGAAATTTCATCGGGGAATATTGGAATCGCTATCGCTCAGCCCACCTTCACGATCTTTCGTCGATTATTTCAGCGAGAACCTACGACGTAGCACTTGCGTGTTGCTATCGCGGATCATAACCACTTTATCCGATAAGTCTACGTCGATTGGCCAGTGGCCCGAAGGCGAGACTAGCTTCGAGAGCCTAATACATCGTGGATTATTGGATCTGCCAAGAGATCCTCAGCTATGGAGAGACGTTATAGCTCGGCGGCCAGGAAACAGCCCCGTGGCCTTGATGACACTAATTTACTATCACTATCACGGAACCAGAGAGTACGAACCAGCTGGAAATTTCAATGAAAATTCATACATATTCGATATATTCTTCTTTTCTGTTAGAGAGAAGATACACTTTCGAATGGAAATTTTGCAGGAACGATATGATATGCTTGAAAACGCTGATCGCTAGGACCGTCAATCTGGCTAAATCTGAACAGACGTCGGCGCAAATTTTGAAAGTTTTATGGTTTCTGTTTGCCGTCGCGTCCCTATCACATCCATCACCGAGCTCGGAACAGGATTACGACAGAGCCGTGAAACGATTGGCAGCTGCGTTGCAATATTCCAGGCTCAGCGATTGTTACACTCACCATATAGACCTGATGCATTATTGCCTGGAATGCGCCAAATTCCCCAAGGATCTGCGGAACAGAGCGTTGGACCTATGGCTGGTGGAGTCCGACGGTGATATTAAGCCTCTGTTGACTCTCGATTGCACCAAAGTTGTGCAACATTATCTATTGGTACTTGCGTCGAGTCTGCGAGAAATATCGGACATATCCTTCGTGTCGATAGACAATTGCCGTCGAACTTTGTCGGCCGGTTTTAGTAGCCAAAGTTGTGCAACATTATCTATTGGTACTTGCGTCGAGTCTGCGAGAAATATCGGACATATCCCTCGTGTCGATAGACAATTGCCGTCGAACTTTGTCGGCCGGTTTTGGTAGTCTTCTGATAAGAAAATTCGAAACTTGGAGCAAACGCTCGAAGATTTTCGGATATTCGAATCTTCCAGTTTTAGTAGCCTTCTGATAAGAAAATTCGAAACTTGGAGCAAACGCTCGAAGATTTTCGGATGATCAAATCTTCCAGTTTTAGCAGTCTTCTGATAAGAAAATTCGAAACTTGGAGCAAACGCTCGAAGATTTTCGGATATTCGAATCTTCCAGTTTTAGCAGTCTTCTGATAAGAAAATTCGAAACTTGGAGCAAACGCTCGAAGATTTTCGGATATTCGAATCTTCCAATTTTAGTAGCCTTCTGATAAGAAAATTGGAAACTCGAAGCAAACACTGAAATATTGGAAGACCTAACATTTTTCGATATTCAAATCTTTCACCAGAAAAATCGAATACTTTAAGTGATAAAATTTCCAAAAGAGTGGCCAAGTATCGACACAAGGGATACGCTACTTAAACGCACCTTTTTGTAACAGAAAACACTTTCCGCTTGAAACAGCTAGCTATCCAGAGCGGATACTCAACCGACATAATCAACTTGGCTATGAAAGGGATCAGAGAGATGATACGCATGGACAATGCCAAGGAAGTGGCAGAAATAGCCTGGCACATGTTGCCCAATCTTCTATCATCCTACAAACCATCGAAAGGTACTTCTATCGCGCAGAACCTACGAGAAAATAAGGGTCGAATGTACAATTACGTTAAGTATACATCTGAAACATTGTCCGAGAGTTATTATTGGACTACGTAGAGTGTTGCATATGTATACACAGCCTTGACTGCTTCAATTGACTCAAGGACCTAACTTCGATATCAACTACACAACTCTGACCTAATCCATGGTCAGAGAGCTAAGCAAGTAGAATGTTCTCTTCTCTCTTCTTCGTTGAATTATTCAAACGAAAAGAAAAAAACACTGTCCATCAGACGAGCAAGTGAAAGCAGTGTTAGAGTTAGCCAATGTGTCCACTCCGAGCTGTCTGGAGCAAAGCGCGAGGAATCGGTGCGCGGACAGTTTGATGGCGATCGCGGTGAGAAGAGAGGCCGACTCGAATCTGAGAACTCTGGCAATAATGCAGTCGTACTCGTTGCTGGTCACGTCCGCGGCGATCAAGCCGTTCACGAGTACATATTTCACCTGGAACATTCTCTCCCTCTCGATAAGTACAGAAAACAATTCCCGTGACTTCCACCTTTTCTTCGTCCGACAGTTCTCGAGAGGTATTGCACGACCTCGAGCTTCTTGGAGGAGTTGCACGTCCAAGGTTTCTCCGCGGAGACGTCGCAGTTGTCCGCCGTTTGTCTGAAAGTTCTGGCGTTTATCGTTCACTGTCAGGAAAAATCGTCCGTTCAGGTGTGCGAGTTGCGTTCTGCGTTAGGTACGCGTGAATTACAGATTCGAGCTATCCGCCGACATCGACGACGCGTGTTTTCCAGTGCGATAAGCCGGTGACGATTGACGTGCAGAGCCTAGCCGATTTGCTGTTCAATACGAGGAGGTCTGTCCACTCGGCGATCAATGGAATGCAACTCACGCTGGAACTTTTGACTCAAAATATCGACGGATCGGCCGTCAGGCTCGACCTGGTCAACGACGAGCAGGTCGACGGTGTTATCAACCTCTACGAGACACTTCACATCGTTCATGCGATTGTTAGTGATGGTGTTGAAGTCGGAATTTCGGGATTTGAGGATTTTTAGGGATACCACCAATCAGTCGTGGAAGGGTTAATTGGAATCAATTTTAATCGAGGAGTCGGGGGCTTGACCCTTTGGTTATTAATAGGTCGCATATGTCTCACTTGAGAATTCAAAGAAAAATGATTGAAAAATGTAATTAGATAACGAAAGGGTTAATTGGAATGAATTTGAATCATAGACTCCTCTATTAGAGCCTCAGGTGTTTAACCCTTTCGTAACTAAGGGGTCACATATGCCACTATTGAGAATTGGAAGAAAAATTCTTTTAAATTAAATAACGAATTTCAATCACAGACACCTCTATCAAGTCCTCTGCATGATTCTAACTCTATTTTTTGCCCACAGTGCGACCCATCAAACAGAGACACCGTCTATCAGTGCCTGCAGGGTGTCTTAACATTCTGCCACCAGCGCGTAGAATCGCTAATGTACCACTTGTGCAGCCTGATGAGCAACCACGATATCGTGTCGACCGTTCTAAGAACAGGCTACGTGTCCACTCAGTTTCTGGAGTTCGTTTCCACTTGGTTACGCTATCGAAGGAGATACTGCGCCGACGAGGGACCTTGGAACGAGAGATCTATTTGCAAGACACCGTTCGAGGAGACGTTCGACCGAATCAAGAGCTACGTCAACTCCGTGAAAGATTCCAAAGACGACACCTCGTTCAACATCCTTCGCTACGCGGTGAGTCCTTAACGAATAATTGAAAAATCTCTTCTTATCGTTTAAGGCACGAAACAAACGTAATTACTCTTTGTAGCTGTCGCAATATAAGGATTAAAATGAGAGAAAGAGGACCACGAAAGTACACGAGACTGTCCAATGGGAAGCTTTGCTTTAACAGTTTATTCGATCCGTGCAACATTGCTCGTTAACATCATCGTAACATGTCATTAATACGTGCGTACAAAAAGTAGAAAAAGATCGATTCACGAACGAATTTAATTCGTTCCGTATATAATATCTATATGTATATAGTTTAACGCGTGCGCTTCAGCGTGATCCTGAAATATACTGTTTCTGTATCTGTATCTGTTGGTTTGATGCTGTGTTCGCTAAGTAGCCTGATCGCTCGCCTCGCTCTAAATGCCCCGGCCGGACGGTGCACCTTGGGAATTGTCATTTTTTTTCTTTTTTCGAACTGGTCGGACGCGGTTCGCGCGGTGCGTCTTATGTCGCTTCGAATTCATGCCCTTGCCCGCCTTCTCCTCTTCTTCTCTCGCAATCTTATGGCAGCTGCTGCTTTGCTCCTCTTCTCCTGCTCTTCGCCTCCCTCGCGCTTCAGCTTCTTCCCGCGCCGCCCGGTTTTTGTTACTTTCGCGGTCGCCCGTTGCGCTGCATGAAGCATCCCTTGAAGGAGTTTAATCTCACGTCGATCTCCCCTTCCTCTAGCTGCAACCAGACGGTTTCTCTCTCGGTTAAATTGCCCTTGCACAGCGGACCGTCATTGGCAACGGTGGAAATTCTCTCTCCAAGCGTCCGGGATCGCAAAATTCTCTGTTAATTAACCCTTTCGCGATGGAATTTTCTTTCTTTTCAAATTTGTCTTCTCAGCCGTCGATTTTCGTGAGCTGAGAGCAATTTTTTATTCTCATCCAGCGATTTTCGTAAGTTCGGAGCAATTTTTTTCGAGTACTCCATTTTTTACTCATCCATCGATTTTCGCGTCTACGATGGATAGTACCTGAATCGAGAGCAATTTTTGACCGAGTCGCTCAAGAGAGGGATGAAGCACGAAAGGGTTGAGAAATTGATAGATACCAGACACTTGGATTTCTTTCACGAGACGAAGAAGAATGATCGATTTGGATACCTGATCGAACAAGTAGATCTCTTTGTAACAGGACGGTGACACGCACTCGCGGATGCATCTAGTCTTGGCGATGCCGCTGCTGTGCGGCGGAAGCATCTTGCAAGCTCCGCTCTCCTCGCAAGCCTGCTCGAATTGCCTGAAGAGAAGTTCCTGCGTGGAACACGAGATGAGAGATATTAAAAAAAAAAAGATTCGTTTCAACGAGTAACACACTGTACAAAATGCTCTCGCTGGTAAAGACAGCAAGGCAGAACTGTGGTGCACAGTAACCGGATAAAATTGAGCGTAACAATTGGTTCGAGACTGTCCAAAGATTAACCTCAATTAGTGCTCGTACGAGTTCTATTATTGGTGCCGCTAGCATCAGTTCCCTTTCTCTCATACGAACAATTCACCAGCATGAAACTCGAGAGAGAGAGGATAAACAAAATCGTACGTTCAACGAGACGATCCCGAATCACACGCTAAACGCAATCCCCGAAACACGTACGTACGTATGTACGGAGGATGCGACAGTATCGAAGCACGCCCCGGAGCACCTTGCGAGAACTGTCTTCTCGTCTTAATGCCAAATCGATTCTACCCCCTTGGCGAAATCGCGGAATCACCCGTCTCGTTACGTCCCCCATGGGGATGCTGGATCCGGCGCTGGATAATCCTACTCGAGTATCAAGCATCACTGGCAGGATATCACGGGAGATCTCTTGCGAAATTCCTCAGCGTACGATCCGGACACGGAAAAAAAGCCCCCAACTGTGTGACGAAGAGAGACGAACTTCTCTCTCTCTCTCGACATCTTGCAGAGATAGAAAGAAAAGAAGAAGAAGGAGAAGAGTACGATAAGCACTGAATTTTCTCTATGTTTTTCTTGTCTTCTGAAATGCAACGAATCGAAACTGAAGGAGAAAATTCACGGTAGATGTTGAGGGGAAGTATCGAGAATGTAACGGTTGTTGTATCAGGCCGGTATACGCGAGAAACGCCGCCCACCCTTCCAAAACAAGCCCTCGCGACCATAACCTGTACGAGAGAGCGTTGCAGAAGAGGCACGAGGAATTGGATAGATATGCAAGACGAGAGAGAACGCCGACTTACATTCTTTGTAGTCTCCTTGTACGGATACTCGGGGAAGGTGAAAATCTTGGCGAGGGTGCCCGGCCGTTCTTGAAGCTGGCCGACGACGAGGATCAGGCCGATCGCGAACGCCACCCCCGGCGCCATGTTGAGCAGCCGGCTACGATCAATATGAACGGGTGGCGCTCGCTTACGTTTCCTTTCCTCGACGCGGACTCTTTGCACCACCACGAGTTCGTTTTCCCTCCACACTCGTAAAAGCCACACCGGATCGACAGGGTGGATCCAGCCGATCAACCTGTCGATCCCCCCCTTTGGCTCGCTCGTAACTGTGAAATTGACTTTTTAAGAACCTTGCCAGAGCGAGGGATGCCCCTTTGGCGGCAAAAGGGATTTCTCGTGCGGGTGCCAATGTTCGATTACGTGTGTCACTGGGATGAGTTCTTTTTCGGTTTGATTTGCCCGGGTGGACGGCGCAGAGGAATTTTATGGGGAACTGCGAGGTTTCGGGTCTTTGGGTTTTGCACACTTTTTCTGTATTTTTTTATGTTTGCTTTGGAGAGTGGATTTGTGGAGGGTTTTGAGTTATTGGGGGATGCTTAGTAATTGTTCGAATGGTAATTTATGGATCTGATTCATAAAATTTAATTTTATGGAGAATTTAAAAAATTCGCTCTTTGAAATTGAGCTTCTTCTTTTTATTTTGGAGTGGATGGTTTTGAGTTATTAGGGACTGTTTGATCATTGTTTTAATTGTAATTTACGGACCTGGTTGATGGAATGTAATTTTATGGGGAATTAGAAAATTTTGGCTCTTTGAAATTGAGCTTCTTTTTTTTATTTTGGAGTGTAGACGATTAGTGGGTGGTTTTGAGTTATTAGGGACTGTTTGATCATTGTTTTAATTGTAATTTACGGACCTGGTTGATGGAATGTAATTTTATGGGGAATTAGAAAATTTTGGCTCTTTGAAATTGAGCTTCTTTTTTTTATTTTGGAGTGTAGACGATTAGTGGGTGGTTTTGAGTTATTAGGGACTGTTTGATCATTGTTTTAATTGTAATTTACGGACCTGGTTGATGGAATTTAATTTTATGGGGAATTAGAAAATTTTGGTTCTTTGAAATTGAGCTTCTTTTTTTTATTTTGGAGTGTAGACGATTAGTGGATGGTTTTGAGTTATTAGGGACTGTTTAATAATTGTTTGAATACTAATTTATGAACTAATGAAATTTAATTCTTATGGAGAATTGGAACATTTTTATTTTTCAATTTCGGTTCCCTTTCCTTATTTTAGAAAGTGAATTAACGGACAATTTTAAGTTACCAGGAAGCTATGTAATTGTTCGAATACTAATTTTAGATTACGCTATTTATCTTCGGATAATAGATAAACGAAGGTCTATAAGCTGTCCCTTTTGAAACTTTGCATATTAGTTTTAGATCGTGTGAATTTTATTTTCGGATAACAGGTCGGTGAGATGGTTCGTTCAGAGGCCGCTGGTCCGGGATTATTTTAAGCTTCGAACGTTAGTTTTAGATTAGGATTTTTATTTTAAACACACCGGATAAAGCTGTTCCGAATTTCTCGATGTAGATTTAATATTCAGATGTGTATTTTTGTGTAACAGCTTGTAGAAAGGGTGGATTTAGGGATTGTTAGTTAGAAGACGTTTAATGCTCTGAATATTAGTTTTGGAGTATGATAGACCAGGGTTTATGATGGACTTTAAATCCATGGTAGAATTTAGACCAGGCTAGTTAATGGGGTCTTTAGTCAGTCATAATAGCCTGTTGAGTGAACGATGATAGCAGTTCTGTGGAATTCGTACTTAAACTTCTATCAAAGTACGAAAAAAAAATGTGAAAATGCTCCTATCAATTTTTCTATCGATCTGAGATCAACAAATAATTTATTTCGTTAATCCTTTGTCTCAGAAAAACGAGTCAGACTCGTGACACAGATTCTGGTCAAGATACAGCAATAAATATTAATTTCAATTTTAATTCATGAGACCGAGGATTACCAAATGTGTTGAATCTATTATTTAATACATTAGCTTTTGGAAAAGTTGGTTTTCAGAAAAATTATTCTATAATACATCGGTGAATGAGAAAAGTCACAAATGAAAGGGTTAATTTTTTCGTTAGTCTCGTCACATCGTGAAATTGGAAGCGGAATAATTTTTTGGGGACCAATAATTTCGTAACAAGAATTTCATTTTCTTTCACATTCAGTGAGTACTTTATTTCGTCAAATTCCACATTTACAAATTGCTCACATCACATTCCTTCGTCAAACGTTCACCAGAAAGATGAAAAGATGGTTCTTTCGCGGGACACTCAGGTTCCTCTCGATCCTCGCGAAACAACGCGCACATCGAGGCTCCTTCCTGCGCAAGGATATCGTCGAATTCGAGAGGAAGGTAGGAAGACGAATCGCGGAAGCGATGTGCACGCGCGAATTCGCCGATAAATCGGCGGGCCGACGTCGCGGCTCGGCTATTTTGCATAAAACGTAACGGAGTGTGTATGCAACGAGGCGGGATGGCATTTATCGTCGCGACGCATGCGAGCGGACCAGACGACCGTTTTTGTTCGGCTAGGCGTTGCGCACCACCAGCTCCACGTGCACCAGGCCCCTCCCCGACGACCATTAAATCGAGATTTCGCCGGTGATTAGCGGCAGTTTGCCTCGCCTCGCTGCGCCCGCCAGTCGATAGATTTTCCCAATAATTTTCCGTCAGTTCGAGGAGTTTTCGAGGAAACGCTCATCCGCATCCCACAGCTTCCGGTTTCGCGGCACGATGGTTGTTAAAGTGCCTTCGTTATTCCGGATTTTTCTTTTCCACCGATATCTTCCAGCCCCGCTCCGATTTCCTCTTATCACCATAGACACGTGGCTAGATTTTCATCGAACTTTAGATTTCAGAATATTTCTTGGGAATCTTTAGGCTTTTCTTTAATGAAGCTTCAGCCTCCTCCCCTATAGTCCTTTTAACCTTTAAACTTTCAATAACTTTGGAGGTTTCTAAATATTTTTTGAAAACTTTTTTCAACAAAATTTGAAGCTTCTCTCGTGGTCCTTTTCATATTCTTGCTTCGAAAGATAGCTTGGAGCCTTCAGAAATTATCCTAAGTTCCAATTATTTCTCCGTCAAGTGAAAAATTTTACTAAATGAAGCTTCAGGCTTCTCTCATAGTCCTTTTAATATTCAATTTTGAAAACTTTTTTCAACAAAATTTGAAGCTTCTCTCGTGGTCCTTTTCATATTCTTGCTTCGAAAGATAGCTTGGAGCCTTCAGAAATTATCCTAAGTTCCAATTATTTCTCCGACAAGTGAAAAATTTTACTAAATGAAGCTTCAGGCTTCTCTCATAGTCCTTTTAATATTCAAACTTCCAAAGGTACCTTCAGAGAATTCTAAATATTAAAAATAAAATCCATCGAAGCTTCATTAATAGTTCCTTTAACATTCAAGCCATCGCAAATTATCATTGACAAGAATCGCGCCTCTCTTTAATTTACACCTCTTACGAACAACCTGTTACACAACCCATTAAATTAGAATTAATTACTCGTCGAGTTCCATTAATCACCGTGGCACAGTTCCTCCTAAACGAACGAGGAAAAACCTACACGCCTATCGACTACAATATCACCTCTCTAAAATTCTCAAAAATCCAAAAAACCCACTCGTTGGTTAACGATCGACCGAAAGAAACTTCAAAATCTACCACCCGTTTTTCCTGCAGTACGCAGTTGCAGTTCAAATATTTATCGCGAAAAACGTGTGACGGGCGGAACAAGCGAATTTCCAGCCTGCATTTCTGGTTCGAATTAAAATTTTTATCCATGCTGGTACGCCTGTGGGCTAATTAAACCGCAGTCGGTTGATCCTGGATCAGGCGAATCGCGCGAACGAGAACTCTTCTCCATGGCGTGGATCGGGGTTCGTTTGGAACTGGCTGAAAAACAAAAAATCCGAAATCGCAGTGGCTTTTTAATTACATGCCCGCTTCAGCCAGGTCGAACGCGCACGGCAAACCGATGCATGATGTACGATGCATGTACGCTGCGTTTCCGATTAAATCGCGAAATTCCATTGATTTATCGACGCCGGAGTCGCGTTGCCGGCGCAGAGACGCAGTTTAATGGGAATTTCTACTCAGACTCGAGCCGATCCTTCGCAGGATTCAGGCATCGTTTCTTTTTTGAATTTTGCGTGTCGATTGGAGACGATTTGTGAGACGATTCGTCAGTGATCTTTAGGAGTTAACAATGCTTTGTTAAGCGTTCTTGTAATTGAGAGAAGAAACTTACCGGTTCGAAATTATTTACTTTTATTGCACTCGAGAGACGACGAAGAAGCGACATTATATTTACGATTAGAGGCAACTCTGAGGATATTTTCCAAGACAGCAGGTCTACGGACCTCCGTGAATTGTTCACTACATGTTTAGAGATCTCAGCAGTGAAATAGTTCGAAAGAACCAACTTCTAATAAAAATATTAGTTTGAAAAAATTGCATTAATTTTTGCTACTTCCTTATGGAAAAAGGGGGCCTTCGAGCGCAAAGGGTTGATAGAACAGATAATGGTTTAACAGTTTGTCGTTTAAAAAACAAAGGGATTCGCGTGTTTTCTGTAATGTAAAAGTTGGTAGTTAGAAAGCTCGTAAAATATTTCTCCGGATAGCAGAGGTTGAAATTGTTAATTAGGATCTGTAACCCTCTAAAAGTTGGAAGAGGAGTTTTTAAACGAGGTATATTACGATTCTTTGTAATATACGGTTCAGTCTTTTTCTCCGGTGTAGTACTAGAGGGAATTTCTGGCTACGGCTACTATCCTAGAATATTTATTCTTCCTTGGGAATTGAAATTAGGTCGTTATTTAAAATTCACGTCTTCGGTAAAGTAGCGATACGCGCGTTCTTTATTTCGGGTTACTCTCCAGTTCGCTGTGTCTCTGTTTAAAAACCTGAAAAAAAAAATACATTTTCGTCGGAATTAAACGTGATGCTGTTTCATCGTACGGTAGGAAGCTCTGAAAAAAAATTGAACAGGCAGATAAATGCTAGCAGACACAGCGATACCTGTTTGTTATTGCGTTTACAGTAGCGGCGGCAAAGAGTGGACCGCTCAAA